TCCGGAAAAAACTAGGGTGATGACAAACGGGTACAAGCATACTATAGATCTAGGAAACACCGAAATCAACTATACAAACGAGTACATATATCTAGGGCAGCTCATAACTCAAAAAGATCCTATGCAGAAGGAAATGGACAGAAGAATTACAAATGGCTGGAAGACATACTGAAGTCTATGAGACTCTAAGAGAGGCTATGAAAGATAAAAAGCTCTATATAAACCTAAAAAGCAAACTTTTTAACACCTGTGTACTGCCTGTCCTTACGTATGGGTATCAGTCATGGTCCTTAAATCAGGTCACCTCAAACAAACTAGCAACTTGCCAGTATGCAATGGAAAGGAGTATGCTAAGCATTAAAAATTCCGACAGAGTAAAAAAAATCGTCATTAGAATCAAAACAAAAACTATCGATATAATAAGCAAAATCAAAAGACTCAAATGGCGATGGGCTGGTCACTTGGTAAGAGGACACGATAAATGGAGCAAAAGGGTGACATGGTGGTACCCAAGGGAAGGCAAAAGAAAAAGAGGCCGACCACAGAAAAGGTGGGACGATGACGTTAGACAAGTGGCAGGAGTCACATGGAACAGAGTGGCTCAAGAAAGAAAGGAATGGAAAAGGTTGGAGGAGGCCTTTGCCGACTGGCAAACAGATCTAGGAAAGATAACCAAGCAACAAATATTAGTTTAAATTTATAAATATCTATTAAATTTAAGATTTTAATGCTATTCTTTTACATAAGTTTAAAAAATCATTGTACTAAGAAATCTATATTATTATTATTTTATTATTATTAGTTTCCCGACTACTATTTCAAACATTGAGTCAGTGTATCAGACAAACTTCGTCGTAGTCAAACTGTGTTTTGGAAATTACATTAATTTTGAAACGAACTCTTCAGCAAGCCGAAATACTGGTAGGGTATCTTTTGAGGCAGCCGATGTATTAGACTCTGAAACATACCACTCATGTTTTTTATTTTTTTTTATTGTTTTGATTTCCTATGCATCTGCATTAAATACTTGAACTACTTTTTTATTGCTCAGATGGGTGGACGAGCTCACAGCCCACCTGGTGTTAAGTGGTTACTAGAGCCTATAGACATCCACAACGTAAATGCGCCACCCACCTCGAGATATAAGTTCTAAGGTCTCAGTATAGTTACAACGGCTGCCCCGCCCTTCAAACCGAAACGCATTACTGCTTCACGGCAGAAATAGGTGGTGGTACCTACCCGTGTGGACTCACAAGAGGTCCTACCACCAGTAATGCTATGTCTCATGATGGGTGGCAGCATTTACGTTATTGATGTCTATGGACTCCGGCAATCACGTAATACGAGTTCGCCCGTCTAAGCGAAAACAATTTTTTTTTAATTCGTAAGCTATTTAAATAACAGTAGAAAATAAATTATTGATCTCATTTAATGTGTAGAATTATTCTACAAATACATTTGACCAAGTTCACAGCTCGCCTTACGATCCCACAGACACTACTGTGAATGGAGCCACTCACATGTTTCATTGGAATAACAGTCACTTGTGTGACTTTATAATATCGCCTCACTCCTCCTACATTAAAGCTATAATCCATTTCAACACTGTTATTTGAGTTTCATCATATTGTGTTAAAAAATTAACACTTTTTGAGAACGATGACATCAGAATATCATGAGCAAAGAGTTCATAATTTCTGTAGAAAAGAGGACAGATGATAGCCTTGTCTCTTTCTCTACTGGACCACAAGTGCAATGAGTAGCTGTTGTTTTTATTTCGCTTTCAGAATATTCGTGAAAAGCTAAACATATTTTCGCTTTCGTTCACTAGGTTTTTCAGTCACTATTTTACGTTCGCAAAATATCACTCACCTGTCCACTTTTTACACTTATATTTTTGATTACATTCGGATTTGTAGAACTTTTAAAAATATTTACCTTTTTTTATTTACCTAGCTTATTGACGAAGCCTAGAGATTCATATTGGAATGTTTGATGAAAATTTTAATTTTGCAATAATGCCTTTTTCATCTAATCATTAATAATCGTTTAGTAAAGAAATTAAATTTCACTTCACACACTTCAGCCTAAAGCTTAAAGGAAATTTATTCAATTACCTTACTTAATCAATTTAAATCTATGTAATCACAATGCCTTAGTTTTGCAACAAAGCGACAAATCCGGTAAATTATAATTAATTTAAAAGTTCGGCTTCGTTATAAAGTTGGACATCGTTCAGCCGGACAAGAGCAGTTTTACCCGCTCCCTTCATTAGCTGAATTAACATACTCGTTTAAACCGTACCCTTGCTTCGAATTTCCGCGCACTAGCCGTGTGTGAGCTTGAAAAACAATGTCAGGAAACATTCACAGCAACAGACTTCTACCAGAATTCGGTGCATACTTCTTTAGGTAGCTGAGCTCAACCGCCACCAGTTACCAAACCACGGCCGGCATTATGTAACCAAGACATTTGTTACCAGCTGAGGTTTTAATTTGAAACCAACGGGCTGCGACGAAACTTTACGCACTGCTTTATTTTAGCATTTGTTTATAACCAAATAAACTAAATTTGATAGGGGAAATAAGTGAGGCAAGCCGTGTTATTAAAAACATTTAGAGTGTCGAATCTATAAACACCGTCAAAATGTTAAATTACGACAGTAAAGTGACAGAATTAATTTTCTTTTTTTCCACGGCCCATTTGCTAGTAGCCTAAGGGGCTATTCTAGATTGTCGCAGATCGGTGGGTTAGCTCACTGGCTTAACCTGAGAGAATTTGCTAGCCTTAGCAAGAGTAGTAAAAATCAAACCCGCAAAATTATAACTTGCATATTTTTTATTTTTTTTATTGCCTTTGTAGGCAGACGGGCATACGGCCCACCTGATGGTGAGTGGTTACCGTCGCCCATGGACCTCAGCAATGCCAGGGGCAGAGCCAAGCCGCTGCCTACATTACTGGTGATATAGGACCTCTTATGAGTCCGCGCGGGTAGGTACCAGCACCCTGCCTATTTCTGCCGTGAAGCAATAATGCGTTTCGGTTTGAAGGGTGGGGCAGCCGTTGTAACTATACTTGAGACCTTAGAAATTATATCTCAATGTGGGTAGCACATTTACGTGGTAGATGTCTATGGGCTCCGGTAATCACTTAACACCGGGTGGGCTGTGAGCTCGTCCATCCATCTAAGCAATAAAAAAATCTACCACCGGATCGGAATCACGACCCACTGAGAAGATCCGGCGTGAGATTCAGTGGTTTGTGTCTATGGCTTGGTTCACTCGTCGAACTTTTAACAATGGCAGGTGCTTGAAGAGCCTAAAAGTGATTTCCTTACCGTGGCCTCCGCGAACAATACTGTCGATAGGTCGTATGCAGCAACCAATAACCCACTACTCTCTGTGTATTTAACTTGTATTAGCTAGTTCGTCGTGATACTGACAAGAGCAAGTCCCACTTCAGATCTAGCTGTAGTAACTAGTATTACGAATCAGATAGCATTCAGCAATTGTTAGTTTCCCCCCACGCAATCCCTCCAACCGCAAAACGCTATAAAACAGTGACCCGAGAATATCACACACTAAAACTCTGACCAATCTGCATCGAAGATACGAGCATGCCTGATGGTGAATTTGTTCGAGAACATCAGAAACTCCAGAGTCACCTCCAAGCTGCTACTTAACGCTGAAGACAATACGAATTTTGTTTCCAAAGAGAGAAGAGAGAAAAACATTTGAGAAAGTTCTCCTGCTTAATATTAATATCCGTAAATATTTACAGTACGTAACTTTTCAATTTCAAAATCTTCCCAATTTGTATCTTGAGTACAATGTGGAGGCGTTTTATATTGAAACAAATTGGCCCTACCGTCTCATCTATTTCTATAGCCAACAAACCTATTGTATCAAGGGGGCATTCACGATGACTTCAAAGCAATTCTTTGAAATATCAAACGCAATCCAGTCAAAGAAACTCAAACAATTCAACTATTATATTCATTTTCCGTTTAAATATCAAATATAAAGTCGTTCCAGTTTTGAATTATCATTGTTATGAAATTTAATCGGGCGTGGCAAATTGGAAAGCCGAAGTCGTTAGGGCTCCCTCTGTCAACTAGCCGGTGGATAGTCACGTCTGCCGCGCCATTACTAAGCGCCGTCGGAATGAGGTCACCGGGATTCGGTTGCACCCTCATAATAAACAGCATCACTGNCGTTTAAATATCAAATATAAAGTCGTTCCAGTTTTGAATTATCATTGTTATGAAATTTAATCGGGCGTGGCAAATTGGAAAGCCGAAGTCGTTAGGGCTCCCTCTGTCAACTAGCCGGTGGATAGTCACGTCTGCCGCGCCATTACTAAGCGCCGTCGGAATGAGGTCACCGGGATTCGGTTGCACCCTCATAATAAACAGCATCACTGTAAATTAGACGCAATTTGTATGAAATTAAATAATTTATTAAAGCGATCTACTTAATAATTGTATTAATTTAAGCATTGCATTACATAATTTGAAGCTTTCAATAAATGTCCGCGATATTATATACAAGAGCTTCTTCACTGAAATGACAGGTACTGACTTTGTCAAATGTCATTTTGACACTTCGCTGATTAAAGGATATACGAGTATACAGGTAAACCCCCTATAGCACGGTAGATGCGTTCCTACGATGTCACGTGTGTGCGAAACCGTCATAAGGCTAGAAGCCAGTACAAAAAGGATAGTAATATTTCGGAACGAAACATTTCAACTATGCCTATACATACAGGCATTTGAGAGGTTTGAGACATTTTTACTTATTATACATAAAAAAATAAGCAGTAAAACTTCGGTTATTCCTATATATTGTATGTTAATAGTGCAATGTAATTTTCTAAGCAGTTTTAAACAAAAATCTCGTTAGCGTGTTGTAGAAGTACCGTGTTATAAAAGTGTTTTGGGAATTTTTTTCTTTTCGAGTTAGAGTGAAACCATGTTATAAAATACCGTGTTATACCGTGTATAGGAGGGCTACCTCTACTAAAATAGGTACGATACATTATTAGGTTAGCATGATCCTTGCGCAAAGATGAACGCAAAATAGAGAAGCGTTCTACATTTTTCGTCATTCATGTATAATTTCATTCATGTATTTTTACTGGTGGTAGGACCTTGTGAGTCCACACGGGTAGGTACCACCACCCTGCCTATTTCTGCCATGAAGCAGTAATGCGTTTCGGTTTGAAGGGCGGGGCAGCCGTTGTAACTATACTGAGACCTTAGAACTATATCTCGAGGTGGGTGGCTCATTTACGTTGTAGATGCCTATGGGCTCCAGTAACCACTTAACACCAGGTGGGCTATGAGCTCGTTCACCCATCTAAGCAATAAAAAAAAGTATAAATAGACAGCACATAAGCAACTCATGACCCCTACCATATTATTATTGCGTCGGGAGTTTATGCAGGACAGAGGCGTTCGATCCAGCGCCTGTCATGTGGTCCTGTAAGGATGCAGGATCAGACTGAAATGATCAAGAAATACATAAGATGACAAGTTTCATTATACCTGGTCGGTTTTACAATAGCACAGACATCATATCCTAAAAGAGGTCGCTATCGTCTCAGTTTTTTAACAGTCCTATCTCTCAAGAACATATGAAAATGCAAGATAATTGTACCGCTTGAATGAAAAAGAATGCATAGTGTTGTGAGCTTGCACTGGTGAACTCAATTTTGAGCAAGAAAAAGTCCTGAGAAATTCTAAATCTATCATAAAACGATTATAATAATAATAACGATTATAATAATAACACATCCAACAAACAAATTAAGCATATTTAACATATTACATTATTCCGCGTTCGTTAGGAAGAGCACTTAATATTTCCCAGTTAATTCTGTGAAGCCTACTCTCTAAATCGAGTAGTCGAAGGTGTTTATTAAGACCTCGAGAGGCTGCGAGCCTTTTGTTAGATCGTAATTTAATTTAAATCCGTAAGTTTTACTTTACTTTTCTTTTGAAATTCCTTCTAGTTCATTAAACTTTCTATTATTAAGAATAAATAACAAATGTAGTACCTATACAAATTTTACGAGTCGTACAATTAAATTAAAATTAAATAATACATTTCAAATACTAAGACCGCAATTAAGCGTAATAATAGTTTTAAATAAATCTATACGTAATTTTAACCTATTTTGTATTTTGTGTCTTTCTATCGGGCCTAGAAACACTGACTATTTAAAGAAGAAAAAAACTTAAATTAAACGACTAACAAAATTAAACAACATTAATTAATAAGAGTAAATAGAATTAGAAGCCATTCTTAATGCAAAAAATGAAGCTAAAAAAAATTATATTGGAAGATTTCTTCAGATCTTAAATGTTGCTATGATATATTTTGAGTCAGCATGGATCGGTAGGTCTTTAACGTATCTTTGTTGTGAAGTGGCTATAAGCTTCTTTGAAGGAATCGAATGCAAACGATTCTCGAAGATTTGCGGACGTCACTCTGTAATATCCACTCGCACAAGCTATAATAGTTTGCCCATGTCCGCTAGTTCAATACAAATCACAAGTATCTGTATAAAATGTCCTTAAACTCATTAATCAAAAGTCAAGTGATCTTGATACCTTAATAAAAAATACTTTTACGAAATCATAATCCCGAAAACTTTAAAGTATTCGAATCAACGGAAATAATGTAATGACAACAAAAAAAACGCGAAATTAAACCGCAACATTAGTTTTAGTTCGACTCGAGAAAACTGAAGGATATCTTGGTATCAATTTCGTGGAGTATGAATCAATACAATCGATACGTTTTGCTTGACAGAACGTTATTGCGGTCGTCGATATTCGAACCGGTATTTGATGCGGTTACCATTGATGTATTAGTGAGTGGTTAAAGCTACGAACTCACACGCCCAAAGATCCATAATATGTTAAAATTGTACACATTTTTTCTTAGAACCGTTTTTAATCAAATATTTACTAACTGACTGTTGCCCCACATCGTGGTTGGAGGCGTCCGGATAGGGGTCGGGGTGCAGTTGAAGTACCTCGGCCTCGTGTTGGACAGCCGGTGGGCTTTTCGTGCTCACTTTGCTCAGCTGGTCCCCCGATTGATGAGGACGGCCGGTTCTTTGAGCCGGCTGCTCCCGAATATTGGGGGACCGGATCAGGTTGTGCGCCGCCTCTACGCGGGGGNGATTGATGAGGACGGCCGGTTCTTTGAGCCGGCTGCTCCCGAATATTGGGGGACCGGATCAGGTTGTGCGCCGCCTCTACGCGGGGGTGGTGCGATCGATGGCCCTGTACGGTGCACCTGTGTGGGCTGAGCCGCGCAACCGGGCCACTATGGCTCGGTTCCTGCGCCGGCCGCAGCGCACCGTTGCCATCAGGGTCATCCGCGGATGTCGCACCGTCTCCTTCGAGGCGGCGTGTGTGTTGGCGGGGACGCCGCCATGGGAGCTGGAGGCGGAGTCGCTCGCTGCCGACTATCGGTGGCGCAGCGAGCTTCGTGCTCGGGGCGTGGCGCGTCTCCCCGAAAGTGAGCTGCGGGCGCGGAAGGCCCATTCTCGGCGGCCCGTGCTCGAGTCGTGGTCGAGGCGATTGGCCAACCCCACGTGGGCGCTACGGACCGTCGAGGCGGTTTACCCAGTCTTTGATGAATGGGTGAATCGTGGCGAAGGATGTCTCACCTTTCGTCTGGTGCAGGTGCTGACCGGGCACGGATGCTTCGGGAAGTACCTGCGCCAGATAGGGGCTAAGCCGACGACGAGGTGTCACCATTGTGGACACGACCTGGACACGGCGGAGCATACGCTCGCTGTCTGCCCCGCTTGGGAGGTGCAGCACCGTGTCCTGGTCGCAAAGATAGGACCTGACTTGTCGCTGCCTGGCGTCGTGGCATCGATGCTTGGCGGCGATGAGTCCTGGAAGGCTATGCTCGACTTCTGCGAGTGCACCATCTCGCAGAAGGAGGCGGCGGGGCGAGTGAGGCAAAGCTCTCCTCACTACGCAGAAACCCGCCGCCGCCGAGCAGGAGGTCGGGACCGGGGTCGTGTCCGTGACCTGGACCCCTAGCTCTTAGGGACCCGTTTTGTGCGGGGAGAGACCCAGACGTGGGGTGGCGTGCTTTGCACGCTCACCCGCAGTAGGAAGCCGGGTGATGGTAGACCGCGTTCCCCCGACCGCTCTGGGGGAAGGTGTAACGCGGCGCCATCAAAGTGGGCTCTCGGCCCGCTGAACGAGGGAACCGGTGGTCGTGTCGCTGGCGGCCGCCGGTCCGGCGTCCGTGGGACGGTGGGATGAATGTAATGTGCTCTGCGTCAACCCTGTCCCGCCGTTTCAATAGCCCCGACTGGGCGCCGGTTGTGAGCGGCAGGAGTTTTTAGTGAGGTTCAACTCCCACATACCCCACCTGCCGCGTGGGTGGAGATCCGGCGATTTCTCTTGTGGAAAAAAAAAAAAAAAAAAAACTGGCTTGCGCACTATTCTATTCCCACATCGGGCAAACGTTGCGTGATGAACCCTGGAAAGTGACATACGTCACCTTTATTACCACTTCTTAATACAGATCACGGCCAACGTGATTTTTCGCGAATGCCAGATAGTTGTGTAATAAGAATAAAACCCGCCAAAATTATAAATTTGGAAATTTACTAATAGTAAGAGAACCAATAGATGGCTGGCTACACTTTGCTATGAAGCGTGCCGAATTTTTATGACCTATTGCGAGTGAGGTTCCATCTACATACTATCATCTAGGCTACCACAGTGTAATAGAGTGATGTCTTAATACCCTACGTGTGGTATATTTCATTTAACCCTAACACACTATCGGCTGTTTATTCTCCACCCACTCCTCCCACTGTAACTTCTAATAACAAGAATCTACAGCGGCGACAACATGAAGAGACTGTATAATGAGATACAATTTCGAGGGTAAGCGAATTTGTCTTAAATCTTGAAACTTATCTCAGCAAACACATAGAAATTAAAAACACCGTCTCTTACCCGCTAAATCATGTCATACCATGTTAACACGTCTGTTTAAAAAGGTCTTTACTTAAATCATCCCTCATCGCTAATTCATTTGCAAATTTACCTATAATGAAAAACTTCAGAAACATAAATACTCACATAAAATAATGTTTTTCAAAGTCTGTTTATCATAACGGCCTACTAAATATTTCACCTTTATTATTATTTTTGTTTGGAACATACATATTTTTAAAAAGCATCCGGCGTACAAAATATTTCAAATCTCCTAAGGGCCCTGACTCCTGACTGACGTAGCTTAATGACTTTATTTGTTTAAAGACAAAAAGAGGGTAGATTTAAGCATTACGAATTTGTTTCAGCATTTAGTTCAAATTGTGATATTTTACCTTTTTATAAATTCTAAATTTTTTTCAGTAATGTCATTAACCAAATAATAAGCTGCCAGCGCGGAACGGAGTCGGCTGAACATAAGAAAAATTCATAAAATTCAGATACACAAAAATTTGAGAAAAAAACAAAATCTATAGATGCTCTTGAGTATGAAACTTGAAGTGGAAATGGGCTGGTCGTGTAGCAAGACTTAGAACCAAAGATGGACTGCGAGAATAATTGTATGGAAAGGGCCACAAGGAAAAAGAAAAAATGGTCGCCCGATATCAAAATGGGCGGAACCCTCGATAGATACAGGTAGCCCAAAATAGAACAAAATGGAAGCACTTGGAGGAGGCCTTCACCATGTTCCTGCCAAACATTAGTGAAGAAAAATAAACATTAAATACCTATTTACTTTGTATTTCAGCAGGAAATAAAAGACTTTTTATTTTTTATAATGTCATTAATGCCAGTATCGTTTCGTTCACATCGCAATATGATTGTCGCCTTGAAACATGAAGTCTTAATCTCAGTTTGTTATATGTAGAGTACCGGCTATCCAACTAATGTAACGGGAACGCATGATCACTTCCCGAAAAATCGTTTAAAACCATCACGTCATCTCTTTCTTTTTTATGGTACTACCCACTCTTACGTACTACGAAGAGTTTCTAGACACCTACCTTTTTTTCATATACGATGCGGCTCGGTAATGAACTCAACCCCTTGGCGTTTCCAA